ACCCAGGCATCCCAATTTCTTAAAAAAAAAAAAAAAAACCTTTTACTACATTTAACAACTTCTCTTTACTGAAAGACAACGTAGGTAAATGAAGTATGATGACAGTTAAAATCTAAAATATAAAACAAACAAAAGATTCATATTCAGAATATTTTAAGGAACTGCAAATTAAAAAACTGATAAACAGCCTAACAAAAAAGTGGGTAAAAGATCCAAAAGGGATTTCACAGAGTAGGAAATCCAAATGTTTTATAAACATGTGAGAAGCAACTTGAACTAATTAGTAACCATAGAAATACAAGTTAAAAGCACGATGGGATACCATTATAAGCTGCCGAGTAGAAGACTGATGATAACAATTTGGTTAGTATCTAGGCTATGATTATGCACTAATGGTGGCTGTATCTTTTGGCACACTGTGGAAGCTCTTTGACACCATCTAGTAAGCTTGATGATGAACTTCTCCCCTTATTATCAACTCCACTTCTACCCAAGAGAGCAGTGGGTTTCAAACTATTTTGGTCATAACCCACATTGTCAAATGATATTTTATAAGTGGACCCAGCACTCTTTTAGAACAAAAACAAAGCGTCAACAAAGAATATCCTTACTGTTTGTGTTACGTTCTAAGATGTCCTGTTCTCTTCTGCTTAAAGACACTGTCAACAGTTTCTGAAAAGGTTTAAGAACCAAGTAATGGGATCTACCATAAAAAAAACTCATACACATATGCACAGGGAGATGTGAGCAAAAATGTATCTGCCTCGTTTGTCATAGTCAAAAATCCAAAGCAATTCAAATCCCACTGATAAGTGAGTCAGTAGGGAGATGACTTCATATTATAAGCAGTGAAAATGAGGTGCAGTTTATACATAAAAATGTGAATGAATCTTAGAAATATAATGTTGAGTGGAAAAATCAAGTCACAGAAGTTTATAATAAAGATGATGGAATTTGTCTATAAACTCAAAGATAATGTTTATGAGAATAGCCACAACTTAGGAAGGATTACACTCTGCCAGACTGTTCTAAATTCAACACACGTGTGCACATTCATTGAAATTCACTGGCTTTGGGTCATTTTGGTTTCTCTGAGACAAAATGTATGATGCTATAATGTATATTTAAACTAGTTGTGGCAAAGTTCTTGTTGTTACATTTGCTATGCAGAAAACATAAATTATAGGTAGGAAATAATCGTGAACTCATTTTCTTTCAGAATATACACACACATATGCACATATATTTGACATATCTATATGTTTTTATACACAGAGTTATTAACATACCTGTGTATTTTTATGTAGATAGTTTAGAGTTTGCTGTTACCATAAAATACATGTAAGCCTTAGGAACTCAGGTAAATTATTGATTATGCCTTTGAATTGAACAGTCAAAATGTGACTGAAGTTTTAAAATCCTCTGTCGTCATTGCTGTAGACTGGTAAGCCCATAGATCTTTCAGACGGGAGCATGTACCGGGCTCTATCTGGGACGATCTGCAAGCACCTAAAGAAAGTTTTTGGCATTGCATGGCTGAAAGTAGTTGGTGGCAGTGCAATGAATTTGCCAATTTACTAAATAAAAAGCTGCATTAAGAATAAGGTGAATATAGCATAATATATGTAAACTTGTCAAATAACTAAGTTGTACACCTGAAACTAATGTAACACTGTGTCAACTATACTAAAAACATACATACATACATACATACATACATAAGATGATTGGGGTGCCTGGGTGGCTCAGTCGGTTGAGCGTCGCCTCAGGTCATGATCTCGCAGCTTGTAAGTTCGAGCCCCATGTTGGGCTCTGTAATGACAGCTCGGAGCCTGGAGCCTGCTTCGGATTCTGTGTCTCCCTCTCTCTCTGCCCCTAACCCACTCGCATTCTGTCTCTGTCTCTCTCAAAAATAAATAAACATTAAGAAAATAAAATAAGATGATTAAACAAATCAATGTCTTAGAGCTAGCCATCTTTATGTATAGCTCTTCTCTAATTTTTCTTTCTAGTTTGGAATGTAGAATTGACGTAACTAAGAGGCAATTGTATCTAGAATGATGTGGTTCTCTAACTGTTCATCTTTTCCGTTTTTGGCTACTTTTGCTTCTCAACATTTAGAATAAAGAAAATTCCAAATTACTGTTTGAACTGGGATATTAGTTTCAGACTAAATACCTATTTCTGTGCTGTCTGTTGGTATTTTTCCAGCTAAAATTCTTCTAATAGTTATAATGTCAGAAGAAGATATGCTTTAAATGAGATTGCCTTTTAAATGAAAATCAATAGTGTATTTTCCATAAAGTAAAATAACTTTAAGAATTACTTCAGACCTTATTTCTAAATGTAAACATTATTTTATAGGTCCTAGGAAGTAATTTTGACTTTTTACTGCCCAATGGAATACTAAAAGGGTGTGGCAATTATGTCTGCTAATAAGTTGTCTTTTAAATGTGCTCATTGAAATGCATCCAGTCATTAAAGTAGAAAATTTACATCAGAAAATTTTGTACTTTAAGTTTCATAAATAAGCTACATGATATATTTTTTATCTATTGTAGGTTCCTCTTATTTATTTCCCTCAAGCAAGAAATACAGTTTTGACACTTGAATATTTGCTTGTTTTTTTCTCCACCACAATCCGGTCTTTCTACTCAATCTTTGTTACATACACAAACGTGGGTACCCATGTGTGCGCATGTACACACATGGATGTGTATACATGTTCATCTTTGAAAACACACTTCTTTTCTACTTTTATGTAGCCTTCTCCTACCTTCCTTATGTCAATTCTTATAGAGGCTATTGTCATATACTTTGTGCCTAACATATGCTCCCGTAATATGAAGCAGCATGGTGGAAAGAACATAGACTACCCCTAGCTTTCAAGTCTTGCCTCTGCCTCTTACAGAAATCATTGTAGTGAACAACTATTTAATCAGCCAGTGCCAAGTGGAAAATGCAGAATCCATTCTGAGGATTGGAGGGATTGCATAGGAAAGCACCTATTACTGCAGCTGCTATTTCATAGCTTAGCAGTAATAGTATTAATATATGTCATGAACTGTGAGGAGTAGGAGAATTTACCTTGTTAGCCTGCCATTGTTTCATGGACGTTGGCAGAAAACACAAGACTATAGAGTCACAGAATTTATTATAGCAACAGCCATAGTAAACAGTTCTTTGTTCATTCCTGAGTCTAAATTCCCACAGGGAAATGTGAAGAAGGCCAGATTTAATACCTACATACACAGTGGTTTGTATTACTGGAGGGAAATCTTGAACTTGGGAAACCCAATCTTTTTTAAGAGCTAATAAGACTGCCCAACCTTTGCCTCAGTTTACACACTAGACAGTGAACAAATCCATTTGCTTAAGAGGGAGATCCTACTTTTTGGAACAAAGATGGTTGGTTAGCACTTGTATCTTAGAGTGCTTAGTCTTGCATTCTCTTACTTGAAAATTTCCAGTTGTTTTCTGGTTCCCTTAAAAGAAAGTCCAACCTTCCCTATCTTAGCCTAGAAGACTCTAAATGATCTGGCACAGCTCCTGACCTCCTCTTATACCACCATACTGGCCTTCTGTCTCTCAAACCCACCAACAGCCTTTGCGTTTGATCTCCCCCAGATCATCACCTAGCTAGCTTCTTGATATTGAATTTTCAGCATCAATGAAATCAGTGAGTGGGGTCTTATCTGATATAGGCCTTATCTATACCACTTAATATGAAGTAACTCCCCCCCTAAGCCTTCTATCACATCACTCTTTTTTTTCATGATACAATTTTTTCAAAATTTTCATATTATTTTCTGTCTTTGCTTCCTGTACCACCCTATCACACAGAATATAGAACTTGTTTTAGAATTGTGTATGTGCATATGCATGTATATTATAAATCATATATATATGTGTGTGTATATATATATATATATGTACACACACATATATATGTCAAATGCTTGGAATAATACCACTTACCACTCAGTGTCTCAGTATTTCTTGAATGAAGGGCTAGATGTATGAATTAATATTGCCTCAAGGCTTTTTGTTTTCTCCTCTTTTCCCATGTGCTTTTCATTGTTTTGGTCGATAATTTAAAATTTTGATATTTGATTTCTAGTGAAGAACTTGCACTATCTCTAGGGTTTACAAAAACAAGGCTATGACAGTAGAAAACTGAAAGTTTCCTCCCAAATAAAAAAAGCCACCTACTTGTTAAAGTTTTGTTGTGCACTTTCTATTTAATACCATTAGTGATAAACTAGCAATTAGATAGCTTGTTTGAATTCATTGGTACTGAGAACATAGGAGATTGTAGCATGAGCTATGCTGTTGGCACATAAAAAATCCTTGTTTACCTCTTAATTCCCACTAATGACACATGAGAGGTGTTTCTTGATTTGTATAAAACTTAGAAAATGAGGAATTAAATCACATACCTATTGAGATCCCATAATTGTGACTTGGTGACTTTGATGAGAAGTCAGAGGTCTGTCTTTGAAACGCCAAAGATTCCTCTAGTCATCCTATGACACTTGTCTTTATCTGAGAGGAAATCATTAAATGATTGATTGTTATATGAAACAGTCCTTGCAAACTTTTAGCTCTTTTCTATAATTTCTCCAATTGCTTTTTTTGTACTCAATATTTTACCTAGCAGAGGATGTATGGAAGACTCAAATACATTTGCTAGACCCTCTTGGAAATATATATAGGGAAACAGTTTTGATTTGTCAATTAAGTGCTTTTTTTATTTTTAGTTTCGTCTCCCTTCTCTTAGTTGATTCTAAGATGCAGGTGCTTTAAACATAAGTTGTATTTATAGATCCGTATTTAGCAAGGGTTCATGTGCTAATCTTTTAAAAGACTGTTACTAATATTAGAAGTAGCCATTATCTAAAAGATATTTAATCACAGCTCTACAGATTAATAATTTTCCATTCTCTTTGTGAAATCACTGTGGTTAAAATTGATCATTTTTCAAAATTTGTTTGTAACAGCAAGCAAGAAAGGAGAACGTAAAAAAAAGAGAAGCAGAGGAAAGGGAAAAACGTGCCCAAATAGCCAAAGAATTAGCAGAGAAAGAAAGACTTGAACGCCAACAAAAGAAAAAGCGCTTGTTAGAAATGAAGACTGGTGAGTACTGTCAAATTTGCAATTTGTACCTTTATTAGCAGTTTAATAAACTTCAGTGAAAAAAAGAAGATATGGTCACTTATTTGTATAGTTAAAATGTAGAGCATTTTTTTTTTTTTTTAAATAATGGGCTTTCCTCCTTTAGTTTACTTGTTAGTAACAAGTAACGCTTTTATTCTAACTGGTCATTGGTCATAGGTGATATTGGTCCTCTGGTCTATCTTGTAGTTCCAGAGTATTCCCACTCTCTTGACTGCTACATCAATAACGAATCTGTAATAATTTATGGCAACCAATAAATTAACAACTATAGAAAAGGGGTCAATTCTATTGGACAAGTAACTAGTATTTTTTCAACAAGATACTCTAAGGGAGGAAAAAAGTGATGAAGGGAAAATGTATTGATTTAAAAGAGTCTTAAGAGATTTATCAATCAGTTGTCATAAATGAAACTTACATATATTCTAATCCAAAAAAATGTAGACAAAGGGAGTCTGAAAAGTTTGAATATTATGTTTCCCCTGTAGACAGGACAATGTTGTTGTGAATATATTTTAAAGTATGTTGTAGAGGCTTATACTGAAATTTTATAAACAAAAATATGTCTGAGATTTCAATCAAAATACTCTAGCATGACTGGGGAATTAAGTGGATATTTGTAGATGAAGTTTGTAGAGGGGAATTTGTAGATGAAACAAGATTGGTGATAAATAGTAATTGCCAAAGTTGGGTGATGGGTGCTTAACGGGAAGGGTGTGTTCACTGTCTCATTTGCTCTACTTTTGTATATTTTGAAACTTTCTTTAGTAAAAACTCTTGGAAAAAAATTAAAAATAGAAAAGTAACAGCTTTACAGTTTTACATATATATATTTACATATATATGTGTGTATATATATATATATGTATATATTCCAAAGCTGAAAGATACAATGAACTGAGGTTCCTCGGTGGCTCAGTTGGTTAAGCGTCTGACTCTGGATATTGGCTCAGCTCATGATCTCATGGTCACAGGATCCAGCCCCGTGTTGGGTCCGCACTGGGCATGGAGCCTACTTGAGCTTCTCACTGCCTCTCCCTCTACCCCTCCCCTGCTTGCTCGCATGTGCACAGGTGCACTCTCTCTTAAAATAGATAGATAGATAGATAGATAGATAGATAGATAGATAGATAGATAGATAAAGATACCACTAACTTAGAAGCAAAAGAATTAAGGAAATTGTAGTTACATTTTCACTCCCTCAAACTTTTGGCTCTTCCACCTCTAAGCCACTAAGGATTGCAGAAGGCTTTAATTAAAATCCATCACCTTCACTGCTAAATTACCATAGTTTACAACTCAGAGCTGCAAATTCACCTAAAGTTTCCCCAGGGGTAGACAGAGATGCCTTTTTGCCTTTTTTGCTTTCACTTTTACAGACATATTTTACCTTTAATAAAGCAAACTGAGTACCTTAATGTATCACACATGTTTCTTCCAGGAGAAAAAAATAATCGTAAGCACAATTTCTTGTTTAGAAGAGTACGCTTGAAATTCAGGAAGTATTCTCAAAAATTTCTTAAAGTTTTAACTAAAATGGAGATCAGAAAGGTTTAACATTGATTTTAAGAATATGCTTCTGGAAATCATTTTAAAATAATTGAATACTGCCTAAGTTACCAGACATTCTGGTATTTGAACACTGGCTCATTTAGTATTGGCCAGAGTCATTTAGATGACTTATATGATGGCAAATTGGCTGTACTGTTTGTGAATTTTGCCCAGACCCCCTGGTCTATCATACTGAGCCTCTCAGCAATTCTCTATTCTATCAATCTGGAAAGTTAAAACCTGATAGGAAGCAAAAATTTTAAGAATATGTTAGATCCAATGTAATCTCAATAATGTTTTCATTCAAATTTACATTTTTCCTGAAGGCATTTCATTTTTAAGAATAGCTAAGTTTATTTTATTTTTCCAACTTAAAAAATAATACTTTTGTGTTACAGAAAACACTTAAAAAGTGGTTGACCAAAAGATCATTATCGATAATCCTCCTATCCAAAAAAATCACTTTTAATATTTTGGCACATTTTTCTTTCAGTTTTAAAATTTTCTACCTTTTAAAAACAGTTATATGATAGAGTAAATATGTTGTTTAGCATCTCACTGAACTTTCTCAATGTTTCCTGTTATTCTTGTGATTCTTAATCTGTAATTTGTAATACCTGGATATGCCATATCTAATTTATTTTGCATTAGTCAGTAATGAGGTCATAGAACAATTATTATTTCTATCTTTTCAATGTTATACATTTATGTATAAATGATTGACAAATATTCATAATTATTAGGATATGGAATAGAAAAGGATAGTTTTAAGACTTTTTGATGCATGTTGCCAAATTGATTTCTGAAAGTATATTCTAATTTCACCAACTTTTAAAGCTGTTAGTTTATAAATATTCTTCGGTTGAATATTCTCATTTTTTTAAACATTTTTGTTAATAAATTAGAAAATTATGTTTTGTCTTAATTTACATTTCTCTGAGTGCTACTAAAGTTGAACATTTTTTCAAGTGTTTATTAGTCCATTTGTATTTCCTTCTTTGTGAACTGTGTTGCATTCGTCTTGTTTTTAATGATTTACACACATCAGCTCATTGTGCCTCAGTATTTACCTTTTAAGTATATTTTCTCAATTTGGCTTTTGATTTTTATAGTTTGAAATATAAAAATGTTTCATTTTCTATAATTGTGTTATAACTTTCGCTTGCTCAAGTTTAGAAAGTCATCTTTACAGCAATTTTATATCCACTTAAATTTTTTTAGCTTCAGATATTCATAATACTATTCTGTTCCACTTAAATATAATTCTTGCTTAATCATTCATAGACTAGGGTCTATTTCTGAAATTTACCAAATCAATTATGGTTATAATTATCGTTAATAATTATGGTTAATAACTGGTTTGTGTTTATTTCAGATAAGTAATTTTGTATTGAGGACATTTTGGTTTTTTCTTTTCTTTTAAGTATAGTTAACATAAAGTGTTATATCAGCTTCCGGTGTACAATATAGCGATTCAACAATTTCATACATCACCCAGTGTTCATCACAAGTGCACTCCTTAATCCCCATTACTTACTTAACCCCTCCCCCACCCACCTCCCTTCTGTTAACCGTCAGTTCTCTATAGTTAAGAATCTGTTGCTTGGTTTGCTGTTCTCGTTCACGCTCTCTCTCTCTCTCTCTCTCTCTCTCTCTCTGTGTTTTTCTTTGCTCATTGTTTGTTTCTTAAATTCCACATATGAGTGAAATCGTATGGTATTTGTCTTTCTCTAATTTTGCTTAGCATTATACTGTCTAGCTCCATCTATGTATTGCAAATGGCAAGATTTCATTCTTTCTTATGGCTGAATAATATTCATTATATACAATGGAATATTATTAAAAAGCCTAAAAAAGAATGTATGCATATATGTGTGAGCACATGAACACATACATGAACACATACATACACCACTTCTTTGTCCATTCATCCAGCGATGGACCCTTGGGCAGTTTCCATGGTTTGGCTATTGTAAATAATGCAGTAAACATAGGGGTGTGTGTGTCCCTCTGAATTAATGTTTTGGATAAATACCCAGTAGTGTTGATTACTGGATCATAGGTAGTTCTATTTTTAACTTTTTGAGGAACATCCATACTCTTTTCTACAGAGGCTATACCACTTTGCATTCCCAAAAGGACAATACTTTTCTAAATTGTTAGATTTTAACTTTTTAAAAATAAACTTATAGGAAGGTTTCTCTTGCATCTTTGTGAATCATAGAGCTCATCTTATTTGACCTATTGGATTACTTTATTTTTTTTCAATGTTTATTTTGGAGAAAGAGAAAGAGAGAGAGAGAGAGAGAGAGAGAGAGAGAGAGAGAGCACAGGCAGGGGAGGGACAGAGACAGAGGGACAGAGGATCCAAAGCAGGCTTTGTGCTGACAGCAGAGAGCTGAATGCAGGGCTTGAATTAACCAACTGTGAGATCATGACCTGAGCCGAAGTCAGATGCTTAACCAACTGAACCACCCAGGTGCCCCTGTTGGATTACTTTATAAAACTTTATAGTATATCTTCCCAAACATGATCTGGGTCTCAAATAAGTGTAGGGCTCTCACTTGATGAAAGTTCCCCAAAAACCTTAGTTGCTAAGGTCCCTGTATTCCAGAAATTTGGACATTTTCCAGGAGACTTTTCTTCAAAAGATAGGGTACTGTCACTTTATATAGATGTTATTAAATAAATACTTTAAGACAGTACATCTTTAAATACTGTATATTATATGTGAATATTTTAATAGGTTTAATCAGAAAGTCATTTGATACAAGATGATAAAATATTTGATACAAAAGAAAGCTTTCATATAGGAAGCTACTTTTGAAAAGATTTTCTTTCTTTTAAAAACATTTTAGGGGCGCCTGGGTGGCGCAAAGAAGGCCGTTGTTGTGTCCGATTGTTAGTCATGATTCACAGGAGTTCGAAATTCTGCTGGCTCTAGGCTGATGGTCATCTGAGCCCCAGCCTCCGGCATTCTCCAGGACCCCTCTCTCTGTCCCCCCCCCCCCCCCCCCCCCCCCCCCCCCCCGTTCATGCTCTGTCTCTCTCTGTCCCAAAAAAAAAAAAAAAAAAAAGTTGAAAAAAAATAAAAACATTTTAAAATTTTGGAAGTCAACTTTGATTTTTCTCTGTAGCTTGTGGAGTTTTAAAGAATCTAGGTGCTATTTCATAGCACCTAATCATATAATATTCTCACCAAAGTGAAACACCTTGTAAAACGCTAATAAATGATGATTAATCTGAATGGTCTTTAGTTTTCCTCTAAACATAAGAAGATTGTTAATATAGAAGGATAAAGTATTCAGTCTTTTAATATAGTTGCTATACTCAAGTTAGTCATATAAGTATTAAATATATTATTATTTGTTGCTACCTTTTTCATATTTAAAAATAGTATAAATATGCAA